ACATCCATCCATACACCCACACATACATACATGGATACACACATACATACACACACACACACACATTCACTTACACACACAGACAGGATAGCATATACATTTACTCAACATAGTTCATCTAAAACTAGTATATTTTTGTATATTTCAGTAAATTGTTCAGGTATTATTAAACATAAAAAAGTTTAGATATTCAAATATTGATGTAAAAATTCATTCAGGTGAAAATTAGATTTAGTGAATGTACTTGTACACACCTGCCTTTATAATGTGTATGGCATATCAGAACCCTGTGCATCATTTCCTTCCTCCAGCACACAAGCTTGTGAACATAACAAATTAAGTCCAATGGTTTTTATTTCTTTCCCACTAGCACACTAGTTCATGAACAAAACTACTATAGTCCACTAATTTTTAATCAGCTGCCATGAAAATATTACGTCATGCCTTGAAGATTTGTTATAAAAAAATAATTGTTCTTCCACAAATATGAACTTGCCTATCTGTAAACCAGATTGCCCATTGTAATTAACAATTCCTTTCTTCAAAGGGAGCTGTTAAGGATGTACAAAGTCAATTCAATGATTTTTATTGTTTATTTATCTTAGGCAAAAAAATGCACAACACCAATATTGTCATAGTGAGAAATGTTTTTTAAGGGCTTCACTGCTTGGAGGTAAAACCTTGATACTTGGGGAGAGTGAGGTACTTGGTTTTGTCTTTTAATTAGTGGTTATCAATTCTAGATTCTGTTGCCATTTTGCCTTTGTAAACTGTTCAATGATTGGTTGTTGATTTATTTTGATGTTACAGCTATTAAACCCACACATCAAGCTGAGCTGTCAAGTCTTCAGCATAGCAGCTGGTTATTGTTTCAGTCATGACTGACCATTTGGTGGGGGGTAGGATATTCTTTTAAGCTGTGAATAAGGATATTTTCTTTTCAGCTTCAAGGGTAATTTATTTTTTCATCTAATATAATGAACATAATAGGTTTTCTTTTTGACACATCAGAGGAAAAATATTTTTAAGAAAGAAATGGGCTAGACATTATTTTTTTTAAATCTTAGTGCCCCGCCCCTTAAAAATTTGGTTCCCAAATAACTATATCAGTGCTTTGCCCTAGTGACATCTGTTGAATTTAATGTGTTGCCTCCCTTAGTATGTAATGCCAAATAACTAATAGTGTGGTACATTGTACCATGGCTGAAAATGGTGGTGGCAATTGACCTAAAAAGGATACTTTGTAAATTTAACATCCAAAGTATGACCATGTATCAGAAGGAAGCCATTACTTGTCTGTTTGAGAGAAAGATATTTGTGCAAATATGGCCAGGCACCTAAAAAGTGATTATTTATCAGTCCATTTAGGTTGTGTGATTCTCTTGTATGAATAGATATGAATGTTTTTCAAATTTGAACAACTTAATTTTGATTGGAGCAGTGGCTTAATGCCACATCCAGTTTAATTCACAGACTTGAAGGTCAGAAATGTCTGCTGGACATGCCAAGGTGTAGATAGGGTTACCATAACCTTGGTTAGTGAAGATGATTGGTCCATTATTGAGTTAATAGCCTTTTGTTGTCAATAAATTCAGCCTCAGGTTTGCCTCTTGATAATTTTATTTTGTATATGAGTTAATTCTGGGGTTTTTTGGTTGTTTAGCTTTTCATTCTTTGGTACATATAAACCCAAAGCCTGATAAAAAAATCTTATTGTTCAGTGCATACACATGATGAGTAGGTGTTGTAATAAGAAACTAAATTTTTTAATCTACATTTAAATAACCTTTAAAATTCATGAGCATGTGAATTTAATCTCAGGTAGGAATATAAATATTACCTTTGGTAATTTTTAAATTCAAATATCAATACATGTAAATCTTATCTTGATATATATCTACATTTAAATTAACTTTAAAATTCATGAGCATGTGAATTTAATCTCAGGTAGGAAAATAAATATTACCTTTGGTAATTTTTAAATTCAAATATCAATACATGTAAATCTTATCTTGATATATATCTACATTTAAATTAACTTTAAAATTCATGAGCATGTGAATTTAATCTCAGGTAGGAAAATAAATATTACCTTTGGTAATTTTTAAATTCAAATATCAATACATGTAAATCTTATCTTGATATATATCTACATTTAAATTAACTTTAAAATTCATGAGCATGTGAATTTAATCTCAGTTAGGAATATAAATATTACCTTTGGTAATTTTTAAATTCAAATATCAATACATGTAAATCTTATCTTGATATATATCTACATTTAAATTAACTTTAAAATTCATGAGCATGTGAATTTAATCTCAGTTAGGAATATAAATATTACCTTTGGTAATTTTTAAATTCAAATATCAATACATGTAAATCTTATCTTGATATATATCTACATTTAAATTAACTTTAAAATTCATGAGCATGTGAATTGAATCTCAGGTAGGAAAATAAATATTACCTTTGGTAATTTTTAAATTCAAATATCAATACATGTAAATCTTATCTTGATATATATCTACATTTAAATTAACTTTAAAATTCATGAGCATGTGAATTTAATCTCAGGTAGGAATATAAATATTACCTTTGGTAATTTTTAAATTCAAATATCAATACATGTAAATCTTATCTTGATATATATCTACATTTAAATTAACTTTAAAATTCATGAGCATGTGAATTTAATCTCAGGTAGGAAAATAAATATTACCTCTGGTAATTTTTAAATTCAAATATCAATACATGTAAATCTTATCTTGATATATATCTACATTTAAATTAACTTTAAAATTCATGAGCATGTGAATTTAATCTCAGTTAGGAATATAAATATTACCTTTGGTAATTTTTAAATTCAAATATCAATACATGTAAATCTTATCTTGATATATATCTACATTTAAATTAACTTTAAAATTCATGAGCATGTGAATTTAATCTCAGGTAGGAATATAAATATTACCTTTGGTAATTTTTAAATTCAAATATCAATACATGTAAATCTTATCTTTATATATATATATATATATATATATATATATATATATATATATATATATATATATATATATATATATATATATATATATATAATCAAGTCAATCTTTTATATAAAATGATTCTGAGACAAAATGAATGCAATATTTTAACAAGAATTATGAATAAAGTCTAAAATACTTATTATAATTGTGCATATTTTTCCTCCTTAAACACTGTTGAATTGTAACCTTGAAAACAGGCCATCTTCCACAAACCTGTAATGAAAGGCCACCTTTCAAGCATGACCACTTTTTGTTAGCAGAAGAAGACACTACCCTACTCTATCAAGCTAGGGTTTACTGCATAACCAAGCTATTTGGTGCATTTGATACAGAGTGAGATACTTGCATGTTAATGAGTTAATCTTGAATATGATTGGTTGAAACATGTTGGCACTTGGTGAGATCTTGTTTATATCAAAGTTATTAAATATAATCATGATATACAAGGAGTAAGATCTATGCATATGAAATTCTCAATAGTTCTCAATTCATATGCTGTGTAAACAGTTTGATTTCTCTTTCAACATACCCATCTTCTCTCAAAAGGAAAACAAGGGAAGTAACCCATGATATTTACTATTGTTGATCACAGTTTTGAGTTTTACCCCCTGCAAAGAAATGCTAATCAGTTTTAAAAAAATATTTGACTAGAATAAAAAATGAACATTCAAATTATAGAGTTAAGAAATTTGACTTTTATAAATTTTAGGGATAAAATGAAGTATTTATATATTTCATAACTTAAAAAACATTAAAATAGGAATATGACAAGTAGCACTTTATTTGTAAATAAAATGACATCACAAGTGAGGTTAAAATTGACTGAACTCTCAATTAGACCAATATATTACTCCCAACTGGAAGTAGAGTATGTAATTGGTATATCCAATAAATAAAGTTCTCTAGTAAAAATAGTGCTACAAGAGAGCTCTGATCAGATTAATAATTTATATTATCTGATATTTAACACAATCTCTGTTGTGGTCAGATAAATTAAAATTATTAGACACCATGGAATTTATATGAGTATGGATATCCCTCAAGTGCTCTTTTATTCTCACATGGAATTTCCTTTTAGTCTCACATATATTTCATGCAGAGGAGTAAATAGATGACACTGCATGCGTACAGTGACCTCTTAGTTTTGAGGCTTCTCTGAGGTTGGTATTCCAAGTACTGACAAAACCAGGAGAACTAGTTGATCTTAGCTGTTGATTAATTTCTAATCCTTGGGCAATTTTTCTTTTAAGACCACACTCTTGGGGCCAGTCAGACACCTTTTTAATTCTCATATTTGGAAATAAGTTTTCTAGCTTCTTTATAAAGCAGAATTGATTGGAATGGCAAAAGCCAACCTTTGGAGCATTCTATAACTGGTTCTTCCAGTTTTCTGTTTTGTTTGAAGTCTCATTTCTCCTGACAGCTGTACATGTAGAAGAGCTGGACAAGAGTACTGATGCACTCATTGGGCTCTCATTACATCCTGATCCAAACAGTCATTACCTTTCCTAATTATAAAAAATGAGTCTGTAAGAGCAGCAAATCATAGCAAACTGGGAAAATATTATGATTCCTTGCAAGTGGATGATGAGATAGTTACTCAGGATACTTTTGATGAGATGCATTGGCAGTAGAAACAAAGTACAGGAGGAGATTAACATAAACTAGGAATAGTGTTGTTGTTGTTGTTGTTGTGGGGCTTAAATCCATTTTTCAGCACATGATAGGCTATACATGGCAACCAATATTGATAGTGGAGGAAGAAACTGGGAAATCACTGGAAAGACCCACCAACCCACAAGAAGCTACTGGCAAGAGTTGTAATTAATGATCAAAATTTCTTTTTACAATACCAATTATTTTGTTTTGGGTAATTTTAAGTTTTGGCTGAACTGGCTATATGGCCCTATGAACTGCTGTCCATTCATAAATGTCCACTTTACTGATGACTGTTCTGGTGTCCTAAGTGGTTAGAGCATCTGCCTCGGATGCAGGAGGTCATGAGTTCAAACCCCAGTTGAGTCATACTAAAAACTTACAAAAAATAATACATGTAGCTGCCTTGCTTGGCACTTAGCATTAAGAAGATAGTGTTAGGACTGGTCAGACTGGTGTCAGGATAATGTGACTGTGTTGGACATGATGCTACATGTCTGCAGTCACACTACATGTCTGCAGCCACACAACCACACTGCAGACATTGTAGCAATATGACTGAAAAATTGTTAAAGCTATGTTACAAAGATCCAAATAACACACCACTTTATAGATGACTTTGTAAACAAAATAAAAAGTCTGTAAATCAAAATGTGTTACACTGGACTTTGTCCAACGAAACCAGGTATTGATTGCATGTTGAAAAATACATGTATTAATAATCTTGCAATCTGAGTTTTTTCAAAATCAAGTAATCTTTTTGCACTAGTCATCTCAGCACAGCAAATGGCCATTCCATGAGTCAATAAAAACCAAAAACCTTGTAGGTAACATAATTTACTCAGGGATCAGTCATTAACCAAAACCAGATTGTTGAGCTGTGCTGCAAAAGAGACATGTCAGTATGAGTGAGGAAACATTTGATCAAATGCATTTTGGGTAGAGACTAGGGATGGACAGAAATTTTGCTGTGTACCTTGCAGGAAAGTGACAGGGGATGTTCATTATTATGAAATTGTGTTTCTCCCCTCCCATAATTGTCTGGTTTAACTCCCCCTCAGACCCACATTTTTGTTAGCTATAAAACATTCATAAAAATAGGTTTTCATATTTTATTTTTATTACAGCCAGTTGGGGGTATGTGGCATGATTGTTTAAGATAACATTTTAGTAATGCAAATTATGTCCAGGTCCATGTACCCAGCTGTCCCTGTGGTAGAGACAATGTAGATTCCTATAAGCTTTTTTTTAATGGTGTAATTGGGGTCCAAGTGGAGTGGTCTAAAGCCTGTCTGCCATCTCACCTCTGCTGTGTTGAGTCTAGGATTTGGCATATGTGAGAAAGCTTGCCAAGTAGCTTCTCTTGGGTCAGTGGTTCTTTCTGGTGATTTCCAGTTTCTTCCTCCACTATTAATACTGGCCACCATGAATAGCCTATTGTGTGCTGAAAAATGGTGTTAAGCCCAACAACAACAACAACATAATGGTGTAATTAAGGATCAGAATTTCTTTACATAGCTGTTGTTATTTGTTTTTGAAGTCATTGTGATTTTAACTGACCTGGTTTTGAGTTCTTGTAAGCTAATGGTATACCATTTGATTAAAATTTGTGTCTTTTCATTAAAATTCCCATTTGCAACCTCACCTCTAAAACTGGTCAACAAAAATTGTAAAGAAAACATGCTGGCATGAAGTTCGTCCCATATGCAAACAACAGTGTGGGAAGAAATTTTTAAAGTGCATACTGTTGATTTAGATATTTTGGGCTGCTGTTGTGTTTTGATGTTAGACAAGTGTCAACAAGTGTGTTATCTAAGGGTACCCACATGGTCCTATTGTTTCATCTTTTAAGAAATAATAATCGTAGAGTTATAATACTAAATTAATGTCACTTGGGGCCTTAACACTTTAAATGTTAACTCAGACATGTTATGTTTTGATTCAAGAAAAAAATTGTTAGCACAACAAATATTTATCAAAGGTTTTAAAAATTTTAATTGAATTGTGACATACATTTTAATCCACATACAAAAAATGTAAATGAAAAATTGCAAGCAATCATTTCCTCTTTTACACACTTTTCGTTGTCTTTGTCCATTAAAAGAGAGACTGAAAAGTAGAATCTTGTGAAATAATTGTTTGAGAAAATAGTCTGATACTGTACTTGGTCTCATCTAGCCAGAAGTTATATTATAGAAATAAGTAATAAGTATATGTACTTGCCTACATGACTTAGGGTCCTATTATGGGATTGTGCAAGTACTGATGTCAGAAAAAGAAGAATATATCAAATGAAAGTAATTCTGAATTGGAGTTGAAATGGGACTGAGTGATATGACGGTAGACCTACATTTGCTTTTTGCATTGGTGTGTACCATTTATGCTCATTTATAAGTCAAGTCCAACTGCAAAGTGCAAAGGCCCAGATCTGCCATTGCATAATGCACCAGCCAATATGGGTCTGTGCATTTTGTTAGGAGTAATCAGTAGAACAAACAACACAGACCCTGATCTGCAGGCATGTTACATTACATCAGATGAGGAGATTTGTTATTTGCCATTTGACTTGAAGTAAAAGTGAGTGTATAGATAATCACTACAGTATAAGCCATGGTGGACCAATGATGTTGTATTCATGTCTGTGGTCCAATGATGTTATATTCATGTCTGTGGACCAATGATGTTGTATTCATGTCTGTAGACAGCAATCAATTTAAATTAAGAGCTGTTAAGAAGGCTACATGGAATTATATTCAGAAACATTGTAGCACATCACTCTTTGGAAATAATGAAAAAATTTATTTTGACAAATGTGAATAACATTTATTATGTTAGGCAAATGTTTTCTTCTTACCTATGGCATAATTATAACAGCAACTTTTTAAAAAAGTTAATAGTACTTAAAAAACAAAATAAAGAAAGAGCCAGATATACTCATAAGTCAAGTCAAGAAAGATCCTGATCTGCTGTAGCTGCCTGGAGATCAGAGTCTATGTTGTTCCTAACAATCTGCACAGAGCTAGACCTGCCAATGCATCATGTGTCATCAGATCTGGGTTTTTGCAGTTTGCAGTTGGATTCTACTTGTAATTGAGTATATATGATAGATATAATACTGACTCTGGGTAATGTCCCTAAGGAGGCAAACTTTACTAATTATTTTTTTCTGGGACTTAACAGGTCCATTTATTCCTGAGACACTTCACCACCTGAACTCCCATAGGTCAGTGTGTACTAGAATGCCCTATCTTGGACAGTTCTATATTTGGGTAAAGTATAAGAGGTTCTGACTTCACATGGTCTTAATGACATTGTTATTTTGACAGTACATATTTACATCTCATAATCATGACAAGTCTTTTGATGATATCAGTTAATGCTTAACATGTCTAAACAGGTACTGAAATACAGTTTCATGTTGACCAGATCATCGTTTACTTCATTTTGTGTTTAAACTTTTGTTGTAGATAACTATTAGAGTGTGTGTGTGTATGTGTTGTGTGTGTGTATGTGTGTGTGTGTGTGTGTGTGTGTGTTATAAATTCAAGTATCACCCTGTAAACAGTAATATAAAATGTAGAAATAAATTTGCATCATTCTACCACAGAACCTGTATTTTATTTCTGGTTCAATGGCTTCCATTAAATTAACTGACTTAAAAGATGTGCAATTGGTCATAGTTCGGATTTAGATGTGTACTAATTAGGAATGGGGAGTCATGGTGGTGACCAAATGACCAAATGGATATTATTTGACAGGTGGGTTTACAAGTCGGTTGTTTCTTCAATCCAATATACTGAAACCCAAATAGCCTGATCTTTACAATTGAACTTCCTCAAGGTGGATGACAAGCTAAATTTATGTAATTATGTGAATCATTGTTTCAGACATCACAGGAGGACAAATAGCAGTAGTGAGGAACATAATTAGTTCACTACAAACTTCTGATCTCAATTTGCCATTATAATCCCTAATCTATGACAAAACTTTTTTTTCAAGAGGAAGACATTCTCTTGATTCTTTTACTCTCTATGATCACATTTACAAATGATTAGGATACATTAGGGTAAAGATCAGCACTGGCAGCCAAAAATCTTGATTTTAACAAAGCCACTCTCTTACTGGTGGCACACAGCTTGTTCATTTCATCTTGATTTTAACAAAGCCACTCTCTTACTGGTGGCACACAGCTTGTTCATTTCATCTTGATTTTAACAAAGCCACTCTCTTACTGGTGGCACACAGCTTGTTCATTTCGTAATTAATGGGGGGGGGAAGTGGCACACAATGTAAAATAGGTTGCCAATCCCAGCATTACTGATTAATATTTATCTACTTTATGTACTTACTATTTGAAATCATGTTTCAATGGTCAAATAAAAAGGATTGATTTTGTGACATGATAATGACCTTGAGAGCTTATGTAGGTATGATTTGCATGCCTTTGAAATAATGTATTTTACCTCCCATACTTTATTTTGATACAAAAGACACATGGGATAAAACAACACAGGTCTCTTTAATCAGTTTTTACAATGCAACAAAGGGGGCACTGAAGGTCCAGTGGTCTAAAGTGCTCTCCATTATGGATCACTGCCATCTCACCTCTGTCTAGGTGGGTTCAAGTCTAAGGTGGGTTCAAGTCTAAGATTCAGTGAATGTGGATATGTGAGAAAGCTTGCCAGTAGCTTCTCGTGGGTGGGTCGGTGGTTCTTTCCTCAATTTCCCTGGTTTCTTCTTTTACCATTAATACTGGCCACCATATATAGCCTATGTGTACTGAAAAATGGCATTAAGCATGACAACAACCAACCAACCAATGCAACAAACACTTCCCAAAGTTGTAGGTCAAAACACAGCCAACAATTAATTAGGCTGTCACAAAAGTGTTCAGATATCAAGGTGATGGTCATTTGACTTTTTCATGTTTTTATATAAGAAGAGTCCATGCCATGATTATACAGTTTACACTGTAATAGAATTAAAAATTAAAAAAATTGAAACATAAATTTTACCTTAAAAGACATCTTTAATGACTATTTATTTATTTCAATGTTGTCACCTGTTAAATTTACCTAATTTTCAATGATCATTTTTTTTGTCTCATACTATTAGTTCAAATATATTGAAAAATATTTTCCCATAAAAAAATCTAACAAAATATGTGATTTCTTATTAAAAGTTGTGAATTTCACAATGTTGATTATAGTATTGCAGGTACTATTAGCACTACTTTTGAAGATAAAGCAAGCAATGTATCATGTTTTCATTTACTTATTCTGATTCTGATCACCATTTTTCTCACTTTCAATGCTTTGGGGCCATTTTTTATATTTTCTTTTTTAAAAACAGGATCCAGACACTGCATT